TCCTCATGTAACTCTAGTCTGCTCTGCCCTCCCTCAGTAGGAGCCCAGTCTCTCTCCAGTGGACAGAATCCCTGCTGATTCTGTCACCCCAGTGACAGAATTCCTGCTGATTTTCACAGCCAGATGTTATGTGGGTGCCTCTTCCCGGCTCTGGTGCTCTGGGCTGGGAAGTCCAGCTTGGGGTTGAGACCCCACACTTCTGAAAGGAAACCTTTGCAGCTGAGATATCCCTCTATAGTCTCAGCCACTGCCCCGGGCCAGGCCTTTTTGCATCTCCATCCTTCCTACCAGTCTCAATGTGGCTTCTTCTGTAAATCCTTGGTTATAAGACTTTTCTTCAGCTAGTCTCAGTTGGTTATTCAGATTGATTGCTCTATATTTTAGTTGTAATTCCAGTTTGGTCCTAGGAAGAGGTGAATGTAGCATCCACATACTCTGCTGCCATCTTGGATCCCTCCTCTCTAAAGACTTCTCTCTAATTTAAAAAGTCCATACAGTTGTAAGCATAGCACATCCTAATGCAATTTTTAAAAATTAAAAGGTATGGGAGGGGAGGTGGGAGAATATATGAGTGGTAACTCTCTTTCAAAACCCCTCTAAAATTGAAATATGTTTCAAGAAATAAAATACACAATGATCCTAAAAAATAATTTTGATGAAAATTCATTTAATACAATGGTGGGCCAAACTAAATATATCCCTGGGCCAGATTCAGCTCAGCCACATCCCTTTTCAACTTCTAGTTTATGGGATACATTAATCAAACTTCAGAATGTCTGCCTAGCCAAGGGTGGGTCATGGTTTCCCCAGGGTCAGCATGAGGAGGGCAGAGTGGAGAAAACCGATGTCCACACTCCATCCTTGAGGTGACTGGGGTCACCCTGAACTGTGGTTTCAAGTTTCCCTCCTGTGAAGCTCATGTTGAACCCACACTGATCACTCTTCCCCTCAAACCCTTTTATACTTAGATTCAGCACTTGCTCTAACCCTTGGTGTTTATTTCATAGTGTGTGAGATTCTGAAGGAAAGGAACACTCAAAAACTTTTCTGGAAGCTTTCACATTGCTTGATAGAGCTCATATATATGCAAATGGTGTGTAAATTGTAAAGCACTCTATAAATGTTAATGATTTTCATTGTGGTTGCCAGTAGATGTCTTGCTACTATTGCCTGCATGAATGGTGGGTTAAGCCTAGAGGCCTAAAGACCAGTTGCAATCTTTTATTTATTTATTTATTTGGTATTTTCTTTTATTAGTGAAAGACCAAGGGAGCACTACTAGAAAGTTACCACCTCCCTTTTGGAATCGCTGCACTGCTTAGTTATTATTGATGAGCAAAGTGGCAGATGTGGCTAGTTTTCATCAAGGTCTGATTTACCTCTGTTCCAGACACCTGCAAGGATTGTACATCCTGTCCTCTTGGAGTTAGACATGAAGCATGACTTGCTTCAACCAGTGAAATATGAATGGGAGTGCCATGTGTCACTTCCCAGAGGACACCGTTAATGAGTAGTGCTCAACTCTCCAGCTTCTTTTTCCTGCCTCAGAAAATATGGAAATATTTACTGATACGGAGAGGTGATGGTGAGTCATCACATGGAGGACAGCTGCCTGCAGAGTGGCCCTGACCCCTAAGATGTATTTCATGCCACCAAGATTTGGTTTAGGGATTGTTTCCAAAGGTTAATCTCAGATTATTTTGACTGATATAATATATATACATACATATCTATGATATGTGTTATATAACAGATATATGATATGTTACATATATGTGTTATATATACTTATTATATACACACATATATATTAGACTATTATATATATAATTATTTAACAGGCCATTATATATTTAATAAACTTTTTAATAAGCCATTTTATGTTAGATGTATAGTATCCCTTATATATGTGTACTATATATATGTATTAGGCCATTACTTAACAAAAAGTTACACTATGCTATGGAAGAGCACAGGCTTTAAAGTTGACCTCCAAGCCTCAGTTTCTGCATTTTTGGGATGTAGAACAGTGACTAGGATCAACTTCTTTTGGCTGAGTGAAACTGAGGAACTGAGGTTTTCAGTGTGTGTATAAAATATGAATCCATTCAGCAGGGTGAGGCAGGCAAGGTGCCTAGGGCACAAAATGCAAAGAGGGACCTACTATCAGGCCCTTGCCAGAATGGACACATGCCTGTTGAACTATCTGTCACTCCCTGGGCAGGAGATCAGAAGCTTCTTGCTGGTCAGAGCTGTGTTGGCTTCATCTTCCTCCAGGGCCTCGTCCCTTGAGTGGTACGTAACATGGTTCTCATTTATAGAGAGACAGACCAGCACTGTTTTTTCCTGCAATCAGAGCGAGAACTGATACTTCAACAAAAATTCCACTGCTAGTCCTGGACCACCAACTTCTTTAGAAAGTTGCTGTAGCTTTTGCCTCTCAGTGTGTTAGCTGTGATGCTTTGAAACAGAGGGGCTCTTGGGGTCAGGGGTCAGGCTGGGTTATCAGGGGTGTTCGGTGATGTCTTTTGAGTTCAGATCCACTGTTGTTGGCAAGCTCTCAATCCACTTTGGACTGTTGTCAATGGAAGAGCTGGAGGCAATATTTACCCCAACCAGGCACAATTCCAAATTATTGGATAAACTAGACTAAACTAAGACTCATGGAAAAAAACTTGCCAGTGCCTTTTAATAGCTGAGTCAGTTTAGAGGTTTGGAGGCAAAACTATTAGTGTTCTGCTACCAAGCAAAATAGAGACAGACTCATAGATAGAGAGCAGGCAGACAGCTCTGGGGGGCAGGGTGGGGAGTGGGTGGAGGGACTGAGCAAAACAGAAAAAAAGAGAAAACTCGTGGACATAGACTACAGTGTGGTGACTGCAGCAGTGAAAGGGGATGGGTGGAGGTGGTAGAGGGCATGGAGGGGATAAAAGGTGATGGGGAAAATTAAATTAAATTTAAAAACCCCCCAAAACTATTAATGTTTTAGACATTGCACTTAGAAACATTCCAAACTCATCAGGTTAACATGTAATATAGATCACTGGTTTTGCTCCTTCTCTGTCCTTTCTTCCCCAGCACTTGATCGATTCTCTTGGCAAAAAAAGGGAGCGAGAACATTTCATCCATTTGTTTTGCTTTCTGTCACCTGACCAAATACATGTGCACTAAGAAGTGAACTTGGGGAAAGGCATCTGGCTTACTTAGTTAATGTAGAGGCTCAGCATGTCAAGCTAAACAGTCCAACCAATGTTATGGATTCTCTACACCAAGATTACTATCATCCTAGATAAGTAGGCAAATATCATTCCATTTCATAGACACATGTTTCTGCTGTCATGTGATACTTGAACTTCAAAGAATGTTGAATTCTGCAAAATCAAGCAACTAAAAGAACAGGGCTTATCTTTACCTTTGCATCTTTGTAACTAGACAGCACAACACAATCATCATAAAAATGCTAACACATTAAAAAAAGACATTAAGTTTCTAAAAAATAAAAAATATGACTAAAATATTGGACTTTACCTCTAAAACAAAGATGAAAGTAGCTCGATTGAAGGGGATCCAAGGCAAGGAGGGCTTGCTGGGTTCTGGAGACAAGAGGCAATGCACCAGGTTTGAGGAGAACCAAGCAAGATGCTTTTGCTATACACAGCACATGGCTGAGTGGAGCAAAGGGGAAGAATTGGGCTGAGTGGGCATCTCGTACAGTGCTGATTCCTTCGTGGCTACAACTTTCTGTCTTCTTAGTGTACTTGCTGTTCAGTGATGCTCAACTCTAACATACTGGGACAGATCATGTATGAACTCATGTCACTCCTACTTACATTATCCCATTATTTATTAATCACACATGAAATAGTTTATGTTCTAGAAATATGCATTATGGCAGACCTGACTAGACTGTGTTTATATTCAGACATGAACTGTTATGATTGAGATCAAGGGAATTTTCAAGGAGCATGAACAAGTTGAATATTGACCAAAGGGACTCATACAGTCTCTATTCAACTTTTTGCATATAATTTTCTCTTACGCAGAAGGGAAACTTACACGATCTTTTTGTATTGACTTGTATAGTATTATTTCATAAAAGAAACTTCTCTCTCTTTTTAAAGCATTAAATTTATGAAACAAATGAGTTAAAATAGTTTAAATAAGGTTAATGAACATTTTTAGAGTAGATGGATTCAGATTTGAATAAGGGAAGGAGGTTTGGCTTCTCAATTTTTCTTATTTTAGTCACCATTGGTAGAAAAAATGGTTATCCTGAGGCATCTAGATATTTTAGGAAAAACAAGATCCTAAGCTTTTTTTTAAGTTATTTTGATTCCTGGCAAAATCCCATATATGTTTGCTGTTTTTGGTTTAGTTTTTGCTGAACACTTTGCCTATTAACTTCAAAATTGAAGTGTAGTTCAAGGGAGATTTAATCAGCACAATATGTTTCTGATTATTTATATATAACTCAGCAGAATGGTGTTTGGTCAGTTATTTATTTATTTGTTTTTCATTTCTAATTTTCATGGAACCTCATGAATTTTTTTCGCCATTTCCTCTCTTTGGCTTTCATTTCATGAATGTCCTTTTCATGAACAAAAACATTTGCATTTTGAGAGGCTCAGATTTTGTCAGAACATCAATATTCCCAAAGTGGGACACGATGAATTTCCCATAAGGAATGTTGGGGTTGTTTACAAGCTGGAGGCGGGGCTTGGAAATCTTTTACTGCTTCTCCTGTTTCTTGACTTGCCCTTTTGTTGGTGGTTCTTAAAGCTAATATGGTTGCTTTGGTATTAGGAATAATGGCTTTAGACACAAAAACAACAGTAAAAGCAATGCTCCCATTTCTATTAACCCCCTGTTCCCTGCACAAACACTGAAACTCAATATCTCGTCATTGCTTTATAAAAAAGAGTAGCTCCAAAGTAACACAATGAAAGAATCTGAAGTATTTTGCATGGACTAAAAAAGTAAAAAGAGTACTTATGATCTGTCAACTTTGAGGTAGTATTAAGATCTGCTGGGCAGTTTAACTTAGTTTCCGCCCTTAATTCTTCCAAATGTCTTCTTTTATCTAATTCTCCTGTCATTCTGACTTCCTAAGTGAACTAACTCAGCTCTTCCAGATTTTGTGACTTTGACAAGTGTCAGGAGCTCTTTGCTTCCAGGCTGCTGGATTGGAGTGCTGTTCTCAGCAGGAACCGTAGGAGGACAGCTGGTCTCCGAGAGACTCTGGTGGGTCTATGGCTCTTCAGAGAGGCTCAGGCCCCCGCTAACAGCCTTCATCTGCAGCAGACAGGACTCTGGAGCTTGCACTTGTCCATCAGCTGTCTCAAACAGCTTCTCCAGAGGCTTACAGAATGCTGGTGAATTCAGGTGGGAATTGGGATCTGAGGGGGGTGGGGTGGGGCAAACCCAAGAGGGCAAAATATGGAGATGTAGCATTTATTCTTTGCTTAAAATGATCCAGCTTTGCCCACAAAATGTAGGCTCATTTTTTCCCCCACCCATGAAATGCATTTTCTCAGATAACACCCACTCACAAGCTGAAATCTTGAATCATTGCTGGTTTTATTTACATGTACTTCCTAGCTTTGATTTATGATATGGTTTACTTGGGTGTAAACTGTATTTCCTTCAGCCTTCAGCAATGCACATTATTTCAACTAAATAAAATTAATAACTTGTTTCATTTCCAGATTCACTGCCTGGGGTGGGTTGGAAGGTTGAAAAAAACAGAAGGAATGCAATTATATAAAACCCAATTCAAGAATAGGATTATATATATATATATATATATTTTTTTTTTAATTTATTATTATTATTATTATTTTAAATATATCTTTATTGATTTCAGAGAGAGGAAAGGAGAGGGAGAGAGGGAGAGAGATAGAAACATTAATGATGAGAGTGTCACCGATTGGCCGCCTCCTGCACGCCCCTGACTGGGGATAGAGCCCGCAACCTGGGCATGTGCCCTGATCAGGAATTGAACCCCGATCGCTTGGATCCTAGGTCGACGCTCAAATGCTGAGCCATGCCCGGCTGGGCTATTTTTATTGTTGAAAGTATTACAGGTGTCTCATTTCCCCCCCAATTGACCCCCTCCACCTCACTCCCACCCCCTCAGGCCTTTACCCCATTATTGTCTGTGTCCATGGGTTATGCATATATGCATATAACTTCTTTGGTTAATCTCTTCCCACCCTCCACCCCCCTTCCCTCTTCCCTCTGAAATATGATCGTCTGTTGCATGAGTCAGTGTCTCTGGATCTATTTCGTTTGTCAGGTTCTTTTGTTCATTAGCTTCTTCTTAAAGAAGACCCCTCAACTTTTCCTGTCGTGCTGGTTTGGTGGTGATGAACTCCTTTAGCTTTTCCTGTCTGAGAAGCTCTTTATCTGACCTTCAATTCTAAACAATAGCTTTGCTGGGTAGAGTCATCTTGGTTGTAGGTTCTTGCTTTTCATCACTTTGAATATTTCTTGCCACTCCTTCTGGCCTGCAAGGTTTCTGTTGAGAAATCAGCTGAGAGTCGTATGGATGCTCCCTTGTAGGTAACTAACTGGTTTTCTCTTGCTCCTTTTAACGTTCTCTCTTTGTCTTTAACTTTTGGCATTTTAATGATGATGTGTCTTGCTGTGGGCCTCTTTGGGTTCCTCTTGTTTGGGACTCTCTGTGCTTCCTGGACTTGTAAGTCTATTTCTTTCCTCAGGTAGGGGAAGTTTTCTGTAATTAATTTTTCAAATAGGTTTTCAATTCCTTGCTCTCTTTCTTCTCCTCCTGGTACCCCAATAATATGAATGTTGGGCCGTTTGAAGTTTTCCCAGAGACTCCTTATACTATTTTCATATTTCTGGATTCTTTTTTCTTTCTGCTCTTCTGGTTGGGTGTTTTTTGTTTCCTCATGTTCCAAATCTGTCTCTTATACACATCTAGATGTGTATAAGAGACAGGGTATCACCTCACACCTGTCAGNTTGTCCTCTACCCTACTGTTGATTCCCTGTAAATTATTCTTCATTTCAGTTCCTGTAGCCTTCATTTCAAATTGGTACTTTATTATGTTATCGATTTTCTCANTGTAAATTATTCTTCATTTCAGTTCATGTAGCCTTCATTTCTGATTGGTACTTTATTAGGTCATCGATGGCCTCACTTGTTTTTGTAATAGTCTTACTAATATCCTTGAGCATCCTTATAACCGTAATTCTGAACTCTGTGTCTAGTAGCTTGCTTGGTTCTATTTCATTCAGTTCCTTTTCTGGAGATTTCTTTTGTTCTTTCCTTTGTGACATATTTTTTTGTCTCTACATTTTGGCTGCTTCCAGGTGTTTGTTTTTATGTATTAGGCAGAGCTGCTATGTCTCCTGGAATTTGTAGAGTGGCTTTGTGTAGTAGGTGTCCTGTAGGGTCCAGTGGCTCAGCCTCCCCAGTCACCTGAGCTGGGCCTTTTAGGTGCTTCCCTGTGTGGGCTGTGAGCACTGTTCTGTTGTAGTTGAGCCTTGGTTGCTGTTGGTGTCATTGGGAGGAATTGACCCCCAGGCCAATCAGCTGTGAGGACCAGCTGTAACTACAGCCAGAGAGCTGCTATGCTGGAGACACCCCTATGGAGCAGGATTTACTTCAGTGGAGCTTTGGTGTTCACCAAGTGTGCCCCTTGAGTGTCACCCGTGGATGTGGTAGGGTTGTAATCCAGCGTGGTTGAGTCTGACCACGAGGTGCACTGTCTCTAGGGCCTCCTGGGAGGTGCAAAGTCAGCCTGTGCCAGTGCCTTGCCCAGGGCCACCCAGCGTGAGCTACATTGCAAACTGTAGTTGGCTGCCTCTTGTGCTGGGCTTGGAGGTGTCCAGGAGAGGCCAAGCTATGAGCCAGTGCAGGCTGCCGCTAGTGCCAGGCCTGGGGCCGCTTATCAAGCTGTATGGGGCAGCTGCTGCTTGTTTGAGAGATTTTAGGAAAGTCCTAAGCATGGGGCTCCAGAGGCCACTTGCACAGAAAAGACCCTGGAAACGGCCCGGATGAGCCGCAGGTGGGGAGGGGCGGGGCCTCCGGGAATCACGGGGTGGGGCCAAAGGTGTGAGTCAGGCGCTGGCGATTCAAATATGGCGCCTGCCTGCCGGCTGTGTGCGGGGAGGACTCGCCACAGGAGCCATGGCCTCTGCCAGCCCATGTGCCTGGGAGGAAGCCGCCCCTCCAGCTCTCGCCCGGATTTCAGGCAGGTTAGTTCCTCCCCGAGTGCCCCAGGTCCTTTCAAGCTGGGGCTGGGGCTCAGAGGGAGCGTCTGAGTGAGTCCGTGCCGGGCCTTTTAAGAGGAGCTGCTGGGGCTCCCGCAGCCTCTGTGACCCTCAGCGACAGTCCCCACTGGTTTCACAGCCCAGAGTTGTGGGGATGTCTCTTTCCGGCCCTGGAGCCCTGGGCTGGGGGCCTGCTGTGGGGCTGGGCCCCCTCACTCTTTCAGGAAACCCCCACCGCTGAGATTCCCTCCCGGGTTTACCCCAAGGCACAGGGTGTGGGCCCGTGGCCTCGTCTCCGGGATTCAGCCCCGACCCGGCCGCGTCTCCGGCCCTCCTCTGGGTCTCGGTGCTGCTTCAGGTCCCTGCTTGTGGGGCTCCTGTGCAGCCCAGTCTCAGGAGGCTCTGAGTGACGGTGGTTCTGTATTTTAGTTGTGATTTTGATGTGGTTGCGGGAGGCGGCGGGTACAGCTGTAACCTGCCCGCCGTCTTATTTCTCCCAACTAATATTTTAAAATAACAGGTTTAGTGAGGTATATTTCACAGACCACAATTCAGTAATTTTTAGTGTATTCATGAAGTTGCGCAACCATCACCACTATCTAATTTCAGAACATTTTCATTGTCCTAGAAAGAAACCTGGTACGTTTTAGCAGTCACTCCACATTCACCTCTCCCTCTAGACCCCTATTTTTGTCCCTATGGATTTGCCTATTGTGGACACATTATATGAATAAAGTTATACAATATATGTGTTTTTTGTGTGTGACTGACTTCTTTCACTTAACATGTTTTTAAGCTTCATCCATGTTGTAGCATGAATCGGTACTTCACTCCTTTTTTTGTTGCTGAATTATATTTCATTTTCAGTATACACACATACATATACATACACATTTTACTTATGCATTTATCAGTTAATAGATATTTCAAGACATTTTTGGTTATGACGAATAATGCTGCTATAAACATTCATGTACAAGTTCTTGTGTGAACAAATGTTTTCAATTCTCTTGGTGTATATAAACTAGGGGTGGAATTGCTGGGTCATGCGGTAACTCTGTGTTTAACCTTTGGAGGAACTGATTGTTTTCTAAAGTAGCTGCACCATTTTATATTCCTACCTACAATGTAGGAGGGTTCTAATTTATCTACATCCTTGCAAACACTTGTTATTGTCTTTCTTTTTAATTTTAGCCATTCTAGTGGGTATGAACTGGTACCTTATTGTGATTTTGATTTGCATTTCCCTAATAGCTAATGATGTTGAGCATCTTTTCATGTACTAGTTCGCTATTTGTATTTCTTCAGATAAGTGTCTATTCAAACCTCTTACACATTTTTAAATTGAGTCATTTGTCTTTTAATTGTTGAGTTGTAAGAGTTCTTTATTATAATAAGAGATAAGTCCCTTATATCTGATTTGCAAATATTTTCTCCCATTCTGTGGACTGTGTTTTCACTTTCTTCGTGGTTTCTTCTAAAGCACAAAAGTTTTTAATTTTGATGAAGTCCAATTGATTTATTTTTCCTTTTGTCACTTGTGTTTTTGGTGATTTATCTAAGAAATGATTGCTTAATCCAAAGCCGTGAATATTTACTCCTATGCTTTATTTTAAGAATTTATAGTTTTAGATCTTACATTTAATCTTGGATCCATTTTGCTTTAATTTTTGTATATGGTGCAAAGTAGGGCTCCACCTTCTTTCTTTTGCAGTAAACATCCAGGTGTCCCAGCACTATTTGCTGAATAGACTATTCTTTCCCATTAAATTGACTTGGCATCTTTGTTGAAAATCAAGGTTATATCTGGACTCTCAATTCCATTCCACCGATCTATGGGTCTGTCATGCCAGCACCACGCCATCTTGATTGTTATAGTTTTATTGTAAGTCTGAAGTTGAGAAGTATGAAGTCCTTCAACTTCTTTTTCAAGATAGTTTTGATTATTCTGAATTTGTTGCACTTCTATATGAATTTTAGATCAGCTGGTCAATTTTTGCAAAAATGGCAGCAGAAATTTTGATTTGTTTTTTAAAAAAGAGATCATGCCCAGCTAGTGTGGCTCAGTGGTTGAGCGTTGACCTATGAACCAAGAGGTCACGATTTGATTCCCAGTCAGGGCTTGCAGGATCAATCCCCAGCAGGGGGCTTGCAGGAGGCAGCTGATCAATGACTCTCTCTCATCATTGATGTTTCTATCTCTCCCTTCCTCTCTCTAAAATCAATAAAAACATATTTAAAAAAAGAGAGAGATCATGACTCAGCCACTACCATTACAGTTATCTTAAAATACAAGAAAACAAACTGATTGTGAAGTGTGTGTGTAGGGACCTAGAGAGGAAGAATAAATTGTAGTGCATGTTTGGAATCAGGGAAGTTTGGGCTCCTTCTAGGTGCACCAATTACTAATATGATTTTGCATAAGTTATTTAACTTTTCTGTTTCCTCATAAAAATTATAAAGTTGGAGTAAAAATGGGTGCATTGTAGGGTGATTATAAACATCAAGTCAGGTAACCTGTTTTTTTATGCTCCTGGCAGAGTGCCCAGTATATAACAGCAATTATTATTGTTATTGGACATTTATCACTTCTGTTAAGAAGAGAATTAAGAGACATGAGACAAATTATAGACTTAATTACACAGATAAGAAATAAAAGAGAATTCTTGGCACCAACTTGTAAATAGCTTGTTAAAATAAGACTTGGCTTCCTTACCTGATGGAATCCAAATGATCAAGAAGCCACAGTGTGGGGCATTTAAAAGTACACTATTGCTTGAAAAAAGGAGAAAATAATATACCAGAAAAAAAAAAATATAATCTGAGGTCTGTGCAGGTCCAAGCTATAATACCAAGGTGTTGTCACAGTGGAACTTTCTAGAAGCCAGATGATGTGTGATGTCATTGCTCTGATGGCTAATTGTGGGCTTCTGTATTCTTGGGTTTAGATTTTTTTGTTTTAATAGCAAATATAGTAAATATCAAAAGACATATCCCTTATGAACCAAAGTTCTTTGAGGTCCTCCATAATTTTTTAAAGCTGAAAGGGGTTCTGAGATCAAAAACTTTGAGAACTGCTATAATAGACAAACTCTTGGATAACAACACAACATACTTTTTGAACACCTTCTAAATGCCCAACACTGTGCTAAGTACTTTCCTTGTATCATCTCATTGAAGCCGGACGACAAGCCATTGTTGTACCTCATTTTAGTGAAGAGAAAACTGACCCTGAGAGGGATTAAGTAAGTTGTTGAGGGTCACATGGCTGATCAGTAGCAGAAGTAGGATCTGAAACCATTGCATTTTCTTTCTTGGGCTCTGTTTAAAGATGCTGTAGCCTTGGAGATTCAAAGAATATTTAACTTCACAGTGAACCTCTGCTCTGGGATCTGAGGAGCTGAAAGTCTGAGGTATGTACTGAGCACACTTTTATATGCCAATTTTGGATTATGAATCTCTAGCTAGTTGATTGGAAGAAAAAGCTGAGGCCAGGATTGTGTCCGTAATATTCCCAGAGATCTTGCCTTGACACTCCCAGCTCTTTCAGAGAGGGGTTTGTTGGCTGCCCTCTGTCTTTACCTCTGTAGATTTATGAGCTTTTGACTGCAGCTGAGGAGGGCTGGCCAGCACCGCGAGCCCTGCTGTGGGGGCTGATTAATCATGAACTTCCAAGAGAAACTTGGGGGAGAGAGTAGGACAGCCAGGGAGGTTAGGACAGGGCTGCGTCCCAGCACGTCAGCTCCTTTTGGCACCAATGTCTCCACTTTTGGCATTTCAGAAACAAAAAGGGAGTAGGGATAGCAAAGTTGGGTGGAGGACTATTACAGCCACTGTAGAGAAGGAAGGAAGGAAGGAAGGAAGGAAGGAAGGAAGGAAGGAAGGAAGGAAAAAAATCCTTAGATTTGTGTTGTGAATTTTTTTTTTAATATATCTTTACTGATTTCAGAAAGAGGAAAGGAGAGGGAGAGAGAGAAACATCAATGATGAGAGAGTCATTGATTGGCTGCCTCCTGCACACTCCTGACTGGGGATTGAACCCGCAACCTGGGCATGTTCCCTGACTGGGAATCGAACCCGGATCACCTGGATCCTAGGTCGATGCTCAATCACTGAGCCATGCCCGGCCTGGCAAGTTGCTCTTATTTTAGAATCTTTGAACCTTTTTTTTTTTTTAATCCTCACTTGAGGATATTTTTTCCATTGCTTTTCAGAGAGAGTGGAGGGGCGGGGGAGAGAGAGAGAGAGAGAGAGAGAGAGAGAGAGAGACACTGATGTGAGAGAGACACATCGATTGGTTACCTCCTGACCAGGACTGGGGATCGAGCCTTCAACCAAGGTATGTGCCCTTGGCCCAAATCGAACCCAGGACCCTTCAGTCCATAGGCCAATGCTCTAGCCACTGAGCCAAACTGGCTAGGGCTATGAACACTTTTTTAAAGAGTAGCTACTAAGCATGTATATTGTACAAATGGCAAACAACAATAAAGTCTCATTAGCCACTAGAAGAAAACTGAACATTTATGAACAGTTTCTATCATACCAAAACTTAAGTTTTAAAACCTAAAACTGAAGGAACAAAATCTGCTCCAGTAATTTAATAGGATTCTGCCTCCAACTTTAATTTTTGTTCATGTATAAGACATAAGCCTTCAGAGTCATTAAATTCCCATTTTAACTGGTTGCCAGCTGTAAGTTAATACACAGACTTATTTCGCTTCTCTCCCTCGATGCTTATGCACAATGCTTTGAATGTTCTGTGTTTCCTTGCCTTTGATTGCCATTCCATCCCAGGATTCTCATTTCCCCCTCTCCTGAGTTTTGGCCGGAATAATTTTGGAGCTGGAAAAAAAGAAAAGAAAAAAAAGCATCTTCTGTCTTTTTCTCATAGCCTTCATTTGCATTTTAGTCTATTTTGGACTTTTTCTGCAATGTCTTCAATGTGCTTGATTTCCTGTTTTCATTAGCTTAATATAATTTAAGAAAAATGTGATATAAGACGTGTCTGGGTTAGAGGTTATTATTTTTTAACTGTAATATGGAATATACTGACCTGCATAGTGTACACTGAGCATGGCTATTTACAGAGTTGACACTGACTCTAAAGAGGTAATTTTCCAGGGCCCTGCACCTTGGTGAGCTGGGAAGGCAGACTAATTGTCATATGCAGACAATTAATATATATGTCCCACACCCCCTCTCATTTCCAAGGAAAAATGAATGAAATCGTTTCTACTCTCCTTCCATTAGCCCATTTCCTTATTTTTCACATTAACAGTATTTTATTATGTTTAGTAAAGTGGATAAATCATTGTGTTATATACTCCGATTGAAAAATAAAATAATGCCATCATCCTAGAAAGTTACTGCATACTTTTTTTCTAGTCATTTCTTATTCTACAGCTCCATCTCTAGAGAACCACGGGTCTGCTTTCTGTCACTATCAATTAGTTTTCTACGTTTAGAAACTTTGTATAAATGGAATCATATGTATGTGTTCTTTGGTTTATGCATCATTTCACTTAGCATATTTTTTTTGAGACTCATCTCTGTTGTGTGTATCAGTAGTTTGTTCTTTGCTTTTGCTCAGTATTATTCCACTGTATGGACATACCACAATCTGCTTATGGATTTTTCTATTGATGAACACCTGGACTGTTTCCAGTTATTGCTTTTTATACATGAAGCTGCTATTTTTTTTTTTTTTATGAGCAAATACATTTGTTTACAAGTATTATTGCTAGGTCATAGGGTAGGTAAATACTTACATTTATCAGACAGTGACAATTTATTTCCAAAGTGATTGTGCAATTTTAAACTCCCACCAGCAATGAATGAAAGTTCTAGTTGCTCCACATCCTTGTCAATGCTTAGTAGAGTTTGTTTTAATTTAACCATTCTAGGACTGTGTAAAGTTATCTCATTGTGGTTTTACTTTTCATTTCCTTGGTGACTACTGATGTTGAGCGCCTTTTCATATGCTTATTGATTTTCTTAGTCCATTCCAGATGCTGTAACAAGAATGCCATAGAGTGGGTGGCTTAACCCCAAACATTTATTTTTCATAGTTCTGAAGACTGGGAAGGCAGTACCTGGTGAGGACTGGTTCCTGGCTTGTAGACAGCCATTTTCTTGCTGTATTCATTCATGCCAGAGAGAGAGGGAGGGAGGGAGGAAAGGGTGGGGGGAGAGAGAGAGAGAGAGAGAGAGAGAAGAGTTCTGTTCCTATGTCTAGTCTTATAAGGGGCACTAATCCCATTCATGAAGGCTCTACCCTCATGACCTAATCAACCTCTCAAAGGTCCCACCTCCAAATACCATCACATTGGAGGATTTAAACACACACACACACACACATACACACACATATAATTATATATAAATATAATATATATAATAAATATACATTTATTATATATAAAGATACATAATAAAGATATAAGTATATAATATATTTAATAAATATAAATATATAAAAATATATAATATATATTATTAAATTATATATAACTTAATAATTATATATAAAAATTATATGTAATTTTTGGGGGGGAGGGGGGATTGACACAAACATTCAGCCCGGAATGTTGAACATTTGAATATCTTCTTTTTGTGAAGTATTTGTTTAAGTCTTAAATAAATTTTTTATTGGGTTAGTTTTATTTTAATAGTTTATTTCCCTTTGAAGAGTTTAAATGATTAATATTCTTTATTCAAGAGCCAACTAGATGCCTGGATTGCCAAAGGCTTTCAGATTTAGTATCTTAATCATCAATATCTGAATATATTGACCTTTGAGGTCAATGTATTATTCCCATTTTGCAGAATAGGAAACTGAGCCTCAGGCAGATTGAAAACCTTTAACATTGAAGCTTTCTGACTTGAAATATAAGGCCTTTCATATTCAGTTTCACCAGATTTCGCTTGAGAGAAAGGTGAGAGGGGGAAAAAATCACTATCCTTGAAATTGGTTGTGGTTTTTAATTTTTTTAATAGTTAAAAAGTCTTTTATTTTTAGAGTAGTTATATATTTATAGAAAAGTTGGAAAGGTAATGCAAATAATTCCCATATATCTAGCTTGTCCTTTATTTTTAAACACCTTTATTGAAATATAATTCATATACTATACAATTCACCTTTTACAATTAAATGGTTTTTAGTATATTCACATATATGTGATGTGCAACCATCACCACAGTCAATTTTGAAACATTTTTATCACCTCCAAAATAACCCTGAACACTTCAGTTATCACCCCTCTACTCCCCTCCAGCCCTTCCCACCCCTGAGCAACCACTAATCTACTTCTGTCTTTATAGATCAACCTGTCCTGGATATTTCATATGAATTGAATCATGTAATATGTGGTCTTTTGTTTCTGGCTTCTTTTTGTCCTGGCTGTTTTGAGGCTGCTGTGGTCACCACCATTCCTGCCCTGTTCTGCCTGAGCACTCTGCAAACTCCGTTACCGGTCCCTTGCCGTCAGGTGTGGCATGTGGCTGAGTTCTGGGTAAAGGGGTGCAAGCAGAAGTGATGTTGTGTGCCGTTTCTAGGCTTGGTTCTTTGAAAGCTAAACCAAACCAAATACCTTAGCACTCTCTCCCTCCCCCACTCTTTTCTCACATTTGGGCTGAATGAGGAGAATTCCCAAGACCTAGGAGAATGTGAAAGCATGAGATAAGAGAAGCCCAGGACGGGGAATGAGGAACAAAACCTGTTGGACCATCTGTGCCCTGGGCTCTCAACAAAACCAGCCACTGCAATTTAGGAGTTGTCTACTACAGCAGTGTCTTATCTCCCTTCCCTACTAAAGCATTCTTTGAAAGCCCGTAACTATGTGTACTTCTAATGTATCAAGAACTCTGATCATGGTTGTTTTTTTTTCTTAAGGTGTCTTAGATTTGGCCATTCACCCAAAGAATTGTGATTCCTTTAAGATGGTCCCCTGCCTGTGGTCCTGGCACAGATTTTTGTTACTCTCAAGCTATCTTAAAAACAGATATTTTCCTGAAAGTATTTGTTGTATTTAGTTAGAAAGAGTCAGAGAAGGCAGTCATATGGAATAAATCACATTTATCCAAAAACATTTATCAACATCCTTATAACAAAATCTTCAAGCTTAGTATTTATTTCATTGTCTTTGCTCCATAATCTGCCAGCACAGAGGGAGGATGCTGCATAGGAAACATGAGGAACAGAGCTCTGGGCAGTGCAGGGACTTTCATGAATTATAAAAATCTGTGCAGCTCTAGAGATCAAAACTTCCACCCATATGGGCTAGATAAATCCTATGCATAGAATTTATGAGGCGGGTTATCTTGAATTATGTGTTGGGTGTTGGGTTTGGCACATAATAAATATAAGTGATTCTCACAGGACAGTAGATTAACATCTAGGGAGGAAAAAAAATCA